ACTAGTTGGGTAACCAAAAGAAAGAAGGGTTCTAATAGACAGAGGAAACAAAACCAGTAGAGTTATACAAATGTAAGAAAGGTGCTAAACATTGAAAGCAAATGCTTTTAAAAAAACAGTTACAAAGGGATAGAGAGATGGTTCAGTGGTTAAGAGCACTGGCTGCTCTTGTAAAGGATCCAGGTTCAAATTCCAGCACCCACATGGCAGCTAACAAAGGTCCGTAACTCCTGACCCAGGGGATCTGACCTCTGCAAGCACTGCACAACGCGGGTGCATTTACATACCTGCAGGCAATATACTCACACACATAAAATGAAAATAATAAAGTTTTTTTAAATGGACACAAAAAACTATCATCCTTTAAAGCAGCTGCCCTAGAAATTTTAGTTTATTTCCCCTACTAAGGCATAAAGCTACTGAATTTACGTTTTCATGATGATCTATATTTGCCAAGCAAAATTCATCTATCACATTTGAAAGATGTCATCAATTTCAAAGGAAGGTATGGGTATTACAGATGTTGTCTGCTGACAGAACTAATAAAGTCTTGTCCTGAAGTCCAGCAAACCATGTAATACTTACCTGACCCATGTTCACAGTTGGTTTGCAGAAATATTCAGCAAATGGTAGAAGTGCTGGATCAGAAGTGAACGCTGAAATTGTTTCTGGCTAAAAAAGGAAAACAACAAGTGAGCTAATCAATGATTATTTCCCTTTCGGCTCAAACTGAAATGCATGCAGTTATAAAAAACATTACTTCCTTTCACACAATGGTCCCCAAAAATTCAAGGCAGTACCAACTCCTAGAGTTTCATCACCCTGCTCTACTAAGAAGTTGCAAGAAGCTTTTGCACAAACTAATACAAAGCATTTATTTACAAATGCCCAAAAATAAACATATCTTCTTTCTTATAAAACCAATTCCTCAAAAGCGCTCCTCCCTCTCTCAATACGTAACTCAGAACCCTGCTAAAACCCACAATTATAATAACAAAAAGAGTAACACTCAAATAAGAAAATCACATATCCGAATTCCTTATGTATGAGCTACTTAATGCCTTTAATCCCAGCACTCAGGAGGCAGAGGCAGGCGGATCTCTGTGAGTTCAAGGCCAGCCTGGTCTACACAGTGAGTTCTAGGTCAGCTGGGGCTACAGGGAGACCCTGTCTCAAAAAGACCAAAAGGAAAAAAAAAAGAATCTAAATCACAGGGCTCAAGAGATGGTTCAGAATGCAATTAAGAGTACTGGCTGCTCTTCCAGAGGACCTGGATTCGATTCCCAGCACCCACATGACAGCTAACAACTGTCCATAACTCCAGTT